CTATGTTTTTCTATACAGAAAGTTTTAAATTTTCAATATCTAGGGTTTAACAATTAACAATTCCTTATGGAATCATAAACAACCAAACTTTTATTTCTTCCTACCAAAAATATTTTTTTTCCCCACAGTTTTTTTTTCCTTTTGTTCCATAACTGGGGCCACATGGGAGGCTGTAATTTCTAATTACAAATATTTACCAGTCCTGTCACCTCCTTGTCACTGAGAAATTAAACCTGGTTTAGCTAATGAAAAGCCTAGCCAAGGGATGCACCAGTGTTAAGCTGTGGGGATCCATTGCTTTCCTCAAGATTTGAGCTGCACAGGACTTAAACAAGGAATATTTGAAGAGGGAAGCAAAGAGCTGAGGTTGATGCCATATTTAGTAGTGCATTATAATTTCTCTTGGAAGCGGTAGACCAGTAATCTGGGAATTTTGGCTGTCATCCTGCTCCTATTTATGAGCAATTTTAATGCAGTAATTACATGCAGGGAAAATTGTTCACTAGGTTGATGAGATAGATGGAAATTTAATCTTTTTTTCTTGTTTGGTTGTCCAATATTTTTATGGCATCCTTCTGGAAGCAAGGGGGTATAATAAAAGATTCTGGAACTCCGTTGCTCCTTGGAAATACTGATAGTTTGAAAGATTTGCTCAGTGTAAGTTAAAGGCAGCTCATTAAACAAACAAATGAGCTGTCCTTAGAGCAATCAGTATTTACTATTAACTGAACAGCACAGTAAATAATGAATTGCAGGTAAGGAACTACAGATAAGTATTTGCAGTGAATTCAAATTACTTGACTTAAGCCTGAGGCAGAGAAAAGCAAATAGAAAGTCAGAAAGAGAAGGAGGAGGGGGGAAGAAGAAGGGCATGGAGGGGTTGCAAATGTAACATTTGCTGTAGCAATCCATGCTCATTTGTGGAGCAGAAGAAAGGTTTTCCTGGGAATCTGGTGCCCCCATCCCTGCTGCAAGTGGTGCTGCAGTGAGAGAAATGGAGGATGTGGAATTCCTGGGGAAAAGGAGAAGAGAAGGCTTTATAAAGGGGAGACCTTATAAATTTTTCCAGTACCTGCAGGGGGGTTACAAGAAGGCTGGAGAGGGATTTTGGAGAGGATATGGAGGGACAGGACACAGGGAATGGCTTTCCAATGAAGGAGGGCTGGGATGGATGGGAGATTGGGATGGAATCCTTCCCTGGGAGGGTGGCAGCCCTGGCACAGGTGCCCAGAGCAGCTGGGGCTGCCCCTGGCTCCCTGGAATTGTTCAAATCCAGGTTGGACAGCACTTGGAGCAGCCTGGGACAGTGGAAGGTGTCTCTGCTATGGCAGGGGCTGGGAGAAGATGATTTTCAAGCCCTTCCAACCCACCCATCCTGTAATTCTGTGAAAATCAGGACTCTGCTTGGAGAGCAGGGCTGATGTTTTTCCCAAGGTCAGGATTTTGCAAGTGGGTCCCTGGCACTGTCCTACCCCAAGGACAGAGCTGTGCTTTGGCACCAGCGAGACCAAAACCTGCCCACGGCTGCCAAGTGCCTGCACAGCTCCCTCAGCCATTTCTCCAAATTACTTAGGCAGCGAAACTGTTCATTTGCTGGGAGCTGGCAGACGTTGGGAAGTTTGGCTTTGGAGTTTAATCATTGTTGGAGTGAGAGATTGTGCTGCCTGGAGTTTGGGTGGCTGTGTCTGAAGGAGGATGGATGGGCTGTCTGGGGGATGTTGCTCATTAAGGAAGGGGTTTGGGGTGTTTTGGGTGCTGGAGGTGAGAGGGAAGGTTGGGGATTTAATCAGGATCTCTGCAGTTTCACCTGAGGACAGCCAGAGGTGTGACAGGCATCCTAAACACCCAAAGCTTGGCAGCCCTGCCTAAATGCCACCTTAAAAAGGTGAAGAGCTTAGTCCAGGTCTCTGCAGGGAGGAGGAGCCTCACCTGGCTGCCTGCTGAGCACCAGAGCAGGGCACAGAGGGGGGGAGAAGTGAGTGGGGCACGTCAGGGGAGATGGGTGAGGTGTTGGCATTCCATAATCAGCTACTCCACCAGGGATAAGAGACATGGGAGCATGAGGTTTATCTTGCTGCGAGGTTGTCACATGATAAATATCTCTGCATAGAGCCTCTTGCTTGATTCCCATCACCCCAGGACTGCACCTCGTGGAATCCCCTCCCAAAAAGCCAGCCCAGGTCCAAGGCAGCTGCAGGGAGGTTCCCAAGTGGAATTATCTGCTGGGTGTGCACCAGCCCATCACTGCTGGTCCCCCTGTGCTGCCTGCTTCCAAGGGCTGCTGCTGCCAGCCCCCAGCATTAGTATTCAAGCCAGGGAACAGGAGTGAGGTGCTAGACAGGCCGGCTAATTACAGCAGCCTGCAGAGGCAAGTCGGGCTGTGCCACATGATGAAGGATATCCTGCTTACTTGGAACGTTGCTGCTCTGCTGTGGCACTTCATTTAAAAAAAAATAAATAAAATAAGGTGTGAGCTAATTGGTTTGGTTAAAGAATTGAGCTGTGCTCTGGTGTTTTTTCTTGGATTTAATCTGAATTTATACAATGCTTTGTGACACTCATCTAAAGCGAAATGTGCTGTGACCTTAGCAAGCTGCACACCTCCTGTAATGCCAGCTGCCCTGCCTCTGGCTGGCATCCTGACCTGCCTGCTCCTGTCCCCAGAGCTGTCAGCAGATGGGGGAGAGGAGGCTCTCGCTGCCACCAATGTACCATCTGCAGGCAGCGAGGCTGCTCAGGTTTTTATGAGCCTAAATTGCAATTCTGCATCCAGAGGGTTTTCTGTCAGAGCATCTGTTTTACTGCCGTGACACAGATCTGGGGCTGAGCGTGTGCCAGGAGCAGGTGAGGAGGGGCAGAGCAGTGACAGCAGCCATCAGGTAGCTGCTGGCTGGGGCTGCTGTGTGTCCTGCGTGTCCCCTGTGCTGTCACACAGCCCAGGTTTGAGCAGGCTGAGCTTTGGAAAGCTCCACTGCTCAAAAGGCAGAGCCAGGAGGACTCAAGCTGAGGGAATATCTGCCACAAACAGAACTAGTGGCATTGCCTGATTCTGGCTGATTTACCCCCAGGATAACCTGGGGGTGCCAGCTGAGCCTGTCCCCTGTCCCTGTCCCCTCCAGTGCCCTTCTGCAGAGCGGGGCACTAAGCAGATTAGTCGGCTTCTTCCATCAGCAAATACTCCAGGCCTAAGATACTTAAAAGACATCTGGTTTTTAACCTCATTTCTAAACAAATGAGGCTTATGTGATTATGGTGTCTGTCGCTTGCCCCTCGCTGGCCAATTGCAATCCTCAGCCGCGGATTTTGGTCTCACAGATGTGAACTTCCAGGAAGTTTCCATGGGATGGTGTGAACACAACTCATCCTGGAGGGAGTGCCACAGCACGAGCTGTGCTCATCCTGGAGATGATGTGAGAGGGAATGTGCTGGAGGAAATAAAAATCTGTTTGTAGGGGAAAGCAGCCATGAGGAGCAAACCCCCATGGGTGGAGGCTGTGGCGGCGTGGCTGAGCTCTGCCTCTGCTCCAGCTGTGCTGGGCGAGCACATCCACCGCAGAGCCCCCTCCTGCTGTCCCTCCCGTGATCCCAGGATTGCTTTTCTGATCCCTGGATTAACGGGCTGGCATGTGCAAAGATCCAAGGGCTGTGTGTGAGGCAGGCTCGGCGTGGCAGGGTGAGCTCTGCCCCTGGGCTCGCGGCCGTGGCGCCGAGCTGGCCGGGCAGTGCCAGCCTGGGCTGCCCGCTGGGCCCGTGGCTCCTGCACGGTGGCCTTGTCTTCAGAATTGTTCTTTCACAGCTACCCTGACAGCTGAGGGCTGAATTCTCCCGGGACTGATGTCCCTTAGCCCTGTTAGAGGGTGCACGGGTAAGCACAGCTCGTGCTGG